GGGGCTGGTGGTGCGGGGGTGGGGCACGTGCGGGGTTGATTTGGAGGGGCCGGGGGTCGGGGATCCCCGCGGCGGGGTTGCGGGGGTGAAACCCCCACCCCGGCTTGGGCCCCGGGGATCCCCGCGTGACAACACTGGTCTGGGCATTACGCTGTGGTAGGTACTTGGTGTAACCTAGTGCAGATTGTGCTCAGTGTTGTAGCTTATGAGCGATAGGGAGGAACAACAACCGAACGACCGGATCTTGCGATCAGCAAGACGCCCAATTGCCCACTTGGCATTAGGACCAGAGGGCGACAGATACCTGTTCCGCCAGCGTAGGGAGAGGCTGCAGCAGCAGCACAGAGCTAGGGACGCAGAAGCCAGCAGAGCTTTAGCAAGTGAAGCCACTGCTTCAGTAGCCATGGCTAGCGCTGCACAGCAATCCTCTCAGGCTGGGAGTTCAGGAACTGTAGGGTCAACTGCGGCGCAGACCCAGAGTCAGTCGGCTGGCGTAATGGCAAGCCAGTCAAATGTGTTGTCACCCGAGGAGATCGCCATATAGCAGGCTGCCCTGCAAGAGGCACAACTACAGAAGGCTTTAGGGGAGATAAAGGCGGAGAAAGAAAGAATGATTAGAAGAGTAGCCAGGATGCAGCAAAGAGAAGTGGAGGTTAGGTAGTTAGAGGAAATGGATTTGACCAACGTGGATGGGGATGTGAGGGTAGCACGGAGGGCCCAGTTAGGAGTCATAGAGACGCAGGACCATCAGACTGCCATCCTCCAACACATTCAGCAGAGTCTAGCCTGGCTGGTTGGACGATTGCAGGCGGCTCCATTACTGTCAGGGCCTGGTGCCTGGCCTATGGCACATCCTCCTCCTCCTGTCCCACCGGTTACCGGGGTATCACCATATGTAGCCCCATCATCGGTAGCTATCGTTTCCCTGGGCATGCCGCTATTAGGAAGGTTATCAGCAGGACCTAGTGTCCAGATTCCTGTACAGATAGTGTTATCCCAACCTTTGTCGCAGGTTGCCATCAGTGGGCAATCTGTTGTCCCGCAACCTGTGCAGCCGCAAGGGTCACAGCCCCAGCAGCAACAGGTGCAGCAGCCTGTTCCCCAGAGTCCACAGCCAAGTGTGGGACAGATGCAGGGACAAACACAGTGGGTTCCGAAAACGGCAATCGCCACTCCTAAACCCTTTTCAGGGGACAAGAGGGGCGAAGACCTCGACACGTGGTTGAGGGTTGTGCCGGTCTATGTTAGGTGCAAGTTGACCTTGCCGCACGAGGAAGTGCTTGTGGCTGCATCCTACTTAGAGGGTAGTGCAGCAAGATGGTTGAGTGGGTTAGTGCAGCTGCAGGGATACGGTCATGACTTCCGCGCTTGGGCAGCCAGCCAAAAGCTGGATGACTTTCTCAAGTTAGTGGAGGAAATGTGGCATGATCCTCAGGAGGCTCAAAAGGCCACTGATGCGATCCTGACATTGAGCTCTCGTTCGTTCAAGTCAGTTAGGGAGGCCACAAACACAGTAGAGCGTCTGATCTGTGTCCCTGGGGTCCGCTATGACCCCCAAGTCTTACTGACGACTTACCTGAGGTGTCTGCCGATGCTAATTAGGAATCGGTTGGCAGTAGAGGCTAACATCAATGTGCACAACTTTCCATCGTTCAGCAAGAAGGCCCTAGACCTTGAGGCGAAGATAGGGCATGGACACAACCCATCGACGGGCGGTAGGAAAAAGACACTGCCTCCCAACTGGAAGGCGAAGGGGCGCATTATGTTCGTCGACAATGATGGTTCAACGACAGAGTTGGACGACGGACCCCAGTTGGGAGCTGGTTCAGAGGCAGGCAGCGTAGAGGCTTCAGAGGGTGGAGTAGTCGCTGCCGTAACACAACAAAAAGGTAAGGGGACTGGTAGACGCCGAGGAGGCTCCCGATCTAGGAGTCAAGTTGACCCCAATGCTCCTCCATGGGAGAAAGCGGGTCTCACAGAGGACGTGTGGAGAGACCGGTACACCCGGCAAGCTTGTATTCGTTGTGGTCAATATGGCCATAACCAATTCAAGTGCCGAAATAAGAAGGTTACGGAGAAGATCCCACCTACTATGGGGCAGGCGGTAGGATCCTCCGCTCCCGTTGGTAGCAATGTTGCCAGTACTTCAGCCACTGCTCCGGGAAACACGTCGGGCCAGTAGGAATAGTAGCTATTCCTGCTAGGGCTGAGGTGGTGGACACACCCTCACCATCTCGAAAGATGGCCCAAGCTCCCACGAACACATTCGGACCCATCGACCCTCTGTTCAATGAATGTGTTAATCCTTAGAAGAGCTAGAGGAGGAGTGGTCTAGATCAGACCCACTAGCTTCTTGGAAGACACTAGTCAAAGCTCCTAAGGCTAGTGCGAGGCTGCTTTCAGACATCAGAAGCATGCGTTGACGCAGTATGAGGTCTTGAAACTTCCTGATCCTGACAAGCCGTTTGTGGTTACCACGGATGCTAGCCAATATGGCATTGGCCTCGTGCTTGCGCAGCAGGAGGCACCGAAGTTGAGGCAAGTTGAGTACATGTCCAAGAAAATGTCGTCTCAGAAGTTGGCAAAGTCCACCTATGAGAAGGAACTCTATGCGGTGTACAAGGCTTTGACCCATTGGAGGCACTATCTCCTTGGGAGGTTCTTCATCCTCAGGACTGATCATCAGACCTTGAGATGGATGAGAACACAACCGGTGCTCTCCGACGCTCTAAAGCGTTGGATCGAAGTCATTGAGCAGTATGACTTTGACCCGCAGTATCTGAAAGGGCAGTACAACAAGGTTGTTGATGCCTTGTCGCGTAGACCTGATTTCGCAGGTGCGCTGATAACTGAGTTCGATCTGGTGGACGATGTAACTCACTCTTTGATGGAAGCCTATCGCGAGGACCAGTTTATGTCTGAGATCATACAAAAAGACTTCTGCTGAGTTTGAGTTGGTCAACGGCTTTCTGTTTCTTTAGAAGGTAGGGAATAAACGATTGTGACTTCCAAATAGAGAGTCTTTGCGTACTTTATTTTTAGGTGAGTGTCATGATGCCACCGGCCATTTTGGATATAAGAAGACAGCAACGAATTTGCTGCAGCGGTTTTGGTGGCCCACAATGATGAGAGATGCCCAGCTGTATGTGGAGACTTGTCAGGTCTGTCAACGAGACAAGCCACGTACTAAGGCTCCTCTTGGGCTCCTGAAGCCCCTTTCGATTCCGGCAAGGCCTGGTGAGAGCCTATCCATGGACTTCACGGATACGCTGGTCACCAGCAAGAGTGGGATGAGACACATCTTCGTCATCGTGGATAGGTTTAGTAAGTATGCTAGATTAGTAGCCATGCCAGAGACTGCGAAGACCGAGTACGTCATCAAATCGTTTAAGGAGAATTGGGTCAGGGATTTTGGTTTGCCCAAAACCATAGTGAGTGACAGGGATGTCCTATTCACAAGTGAGTTGTGAAAGGCCGCTGCTGCGGAACAGGGAACTCAGTTGCAGATGACTTCTGGGAATCACCCAGAGGCCAACTGTTAGGTTGAGCAACTGAATCGCGTTGTACAACACCTGTTAAGGCATTACATCAAGCCCAATCAGGTTGATTGGCATGAGAAGCTTGCTCTCATCGCCAGTCTGTATAATAACGCTGTACACAGCGCCACCGGGGTGAGCCCAAACAGCTTGCTATTGACTTTCAGGCCTAGATTGCCCTTAGACTTTCTCCTTCCTGGGAATCAGTCCATTGCTGCACCGGGTACTTTAGAATTCGCCTACAGGTATGAACAAAAGATGCAGCATGCGGTAGAGCAGATGCAAAAGGCACAGGAGGCAATGATAGAATCTGAGAACAGACACCACCGCCCTTCTACATTTCAGGTTGGGGACATAGTATGGGTTAAGTCCTCAGAACCGGGACAGGAGTACGGGATTTCCCGCAAACTCATGCCATAGTACTTCGGGGCATGGGAAGTCTTAGATATTGTCGGGACTGATCCGGATGGGCCATCTTACGTAGTCCGGATCCATGGTCATCTCCGCACTTACCCTGTCTTTCACGCGTCCAAACTTGCACCTTTAAAGGAAACAGATGAGTTTCCTACTTATCGCTCAATGCTGCCCCCAACCATGGACGGAGAAGTGGACATTGATGACATAGTGGATCACAGGGAGCTGCCAGTTTCGAGACCCACGGGAAGGGGACGTCCTCCTAAGCCGAAGCTGCAGTACCGCGTTCGGTTTCGACATCATACTGATCCAAGGGAGGACCGCTGGTTCACCCGGGAGGAACTCATGCAGACCGCTCCTCAAGTCGTAGCACACTACGAGAAATCTCTGCAGAAGGGAAAGCGCCAGGTTATCGAAGACTGAACTTCTCAGAGGACTATCGAAGTTATGGAGGAGGGAATGCGAGGCTGAAGCCCCGATGAGCCCCTTTCAGGCCCTGTGTTACATGCTCAGTTGGGCAATGTACATAGAAACCGAGGATCCGCAATGTGATAAAAAGGACTGAATGGACAATGCAGTGCAAGTAGATTCTCAACAAGCATTGTGCATTCTAATACATACAAAATGGTGTTGAATAGCGCAGGGAGACTTAGATACAAATCCTGACCTGACCAGGACTGACGTCATTCACGTAGTATAGGATAGCGAAGCAGAATGCTAGAATGCTAATGACTAGCCCAATCAATGTTTGAATGTAGAGTAAACATACATCGTATCCATCACAAGGTGTGAAGGAATGACTAGCCCAATCAGTGTTTGAATGTAGAGTAAACATACATCGTATCCATCACAAGGTGTGAAGGAGCCTGGCGCTGTACACAGGAAGAAAGCGCCAGGTCCAAACATACACAGATGAGGAGGAGGGGATCAGACGAAGAGAGGGGGAGAGATGGGTTGTCGTCAACAACAAGTCTTTCTCACAAGTCCCAAATAATCCCTCGTCGTAATGTCTGAAGCCCAAAAGTCGAGTCTGGATCCAATGTCACCAAGCTCTCTCTCTCTTCTCTCGTASTCTGCCGATGCAGTGAAGTCAGATGATGAGAGCTTGTGAGGGAGATGGTGGACTGAGAAGAGGAAGAAGAAGAACTCTCTCTCTCTGTTACGAGCCAGGTACTAACCTGTGAAGTTGGCGCTGTGTTGCAGGTACCTCGAAGACGAAGCTGGAGCAACGGCGCTGCAGGTAAGTACCTCAGCCATCCGCCCAATCTCTCTCTCTTACTACTGCTATCCTAGATATGGCGACCATCGCTGAAGACTACAGCTACCTACTGCGCACAGCGCTGAAGGCTAAGGCTAATGCTACTACTACTCCTGCTGCGCTCCCTCCAGAGTGCTGCTGCCGAATCCTGAAGACTAGTCTTTGTCACAAGTCCCAAATAATCCCTCGTGGTATGTCTGAAGCCCAAAAGTCGAGTCTGGATCCAATGTCACCAAGCTCTCTCTCTCTCTTCTCTCGTAGTCTGCCGATGCAGTGAAGTCAGATGATGAGAGGGTGAGAGGGAGATGGTGGACTGAGAAGAGGAAGAAGAAGAACTCTCTCTCTCCGTTACGAGCCATGTACTAACCTGTGAAGTTGGCGCTGTGCGGCAGGTACCTCGAAGATGAAGCTGGAGCAACGGCGCTGCAGGTAAGTACCTCTGGCCTCTGCCCAATCTCTCTCTGACTAGTGCTATCCTAGCTATGGCGCCCAGCGCTGAAGACTACAACTACCTACTGCGCCCAGCGCTGAAGACTAAGGCTGACACTACTACTACCCCTGCAGTGCTCCCTCCAGAGTGCAGCTTCCGAATCCTGAAGACTACTGACTGCCTCCTGCCTGCCCGTGAAGTGCATGGGAAGTCCCTATGTACTACCTCGGCCTGCCTCCTAACTGCCTGAAGGGCGAGCCCGGCCGAGGAGGCTGCTCTTGCTAATGCCGAAGTGTGTCAGGGGCTGGTGCTGCAGCATCTGCTGAGGCTGGCGTGGGAACATGCTAAGAATAGCCTGTTCCCGAAACCCTGGTTCAGTGCCTGAGTTTCAGGGCCCGTCATTCTGATGAACGACCGAAAATGGCCCTTCGTTTCATGCTAAAAAGGCTATTGCCATTTTTAGTCTGAAACGACACAGGGACTGTAGGCCCCTGTCTTCAGGCTTTCGGGCTCAACAGTCACGGGGCCTGTAGGCCCTGGTTTTCAGGCTTTTAGCCTGAAGGACGCAGGGCCTGGAAAACGGCCCTCATGTGCAGGCGCAGCATGTAACACCCCCCCCCTCCTTATGAAGTCAAGCCGGGGCGAGGGCGAAGCCGACGATCTGAAGGTGGAACCTAGACGCGAGCGCGGCGTGGAGCCGAAGAAACCTGCTTGCCTTGCATCTTGCGTTCGTAGCATGCGAGAACGTCTGGAGCTGTTGYTTGAAGTTCCGCACGGGTCAACCAACGGTCAGCTCGGTGTGTGCAGTATGCAAAATGCACCAAATACTCGGTTGGCCTGTTGCCGTAGCATCGTTGGGAGATAATGTCCCCGACCTCCTTAAAACCGTCCATGGAGGGTGGGTCTTGCGAACGTCTCCTGGGAAAATCGTCATGTTCCGCCGGCGTGTAAAGAGCCAACTTGGAGCAATGAAAGACTGGGAGGACGGGCAACTGGGCGAGCACCTGAATCGTGAAGGAAGGTCCCTCAGGTGCGTCCCCAGCAGGTACTACGATCGGCCAAGGCCCCATCCATTTCGGGAGGAGCTTGTGAGAGATATCTTGTTCAAGGCTGAATTCCGCGGCGGAGACCCAAACGAGATCGCCGACGCGGAATGGGCAAGGAAGACGCTGGCGATTGGCCTGCTGGCTTATGCGTTGCTGCGTCTTGGCCATCTGGTCGCGTGCCTTGACAAGTAACTCTTGCATCCGACGAAGAAAAGAAGATGGTCGTCGCTCTCGGTCGTTCGTGGAGTGATAGTGTCCAACGGCGAAGTGACCGGTGAGCCGTGCTCGAACTCGAAGGGCGACATCCCGATAGCCGGGTGGATGGAGGAGTTGTAGGCCAAATCTACATCCGACAGCTGCTCAACCCAGTCCTTTTGGTCAGGACGGATGAGAGTGCGAAGGAGAACCTGTGTGGTCTGGTGCGCCCTCTCCGTTTGGCCATTGGTCTGAGGGTGGCGGGCTGAACTGGGCTTGAGAGATGAGCCCCATCGCTTGATGAGTACCAACCAAAAATCGCAAACGATTTCCTTGGGGTAACCCTTGGTTCGAATCCAACCGGCGTAGAGACCCTCGACCAACTCCGGTGCTTTGGCATGATAGCGACAAGGCAAAAACATGGCGAACTTGGTGAGTCGGTCGACCACCGTGAGAATCCCATCCACTTTGGTCTTGTGCTTGGGAAACGGGCCGGTAATGTCCATGGCAATCGCTTCCCTTCGCCTCAATGGGACCGGTAATGGTCGTAACTCGCCGTACGGACGATGGTTGCGAAATTTGCAGCGTCGGCCAACCTCGCATGACTCGCAATAGCGTGTGACGTCGTCGAGAAGGCCGGGCCACCAAAATCGCTTGCGAAGTCGGCCAATCGTGCGATCAACTCCAAAGTGTCCGGTGGCGGGAGCATCGTGGAACTCGCCAAGAAGCCGTGTACGCAAGTGAGGATTACTCGGTACACAAAGAAGGTACTTCCCCCGTGTGTGGACAAGCAAGTACCCCTCTTGGATCCGGTAGTGAGAAGGCGCCGAATGAGGAGAGGAGCAATTCCCGTACTTGTCGCGAAACTCGGGGTCGGCTTGGTAGCCGCGGATGAAGCTGTTCCGCAGGTCGTCGTCGATCTCGAAGGTTGAGTAGACCGCGGTACAATGATCCGGATGCCGTGAAAGAGCATCCGCAAAACGGTTCGACTTCCCCGGAATGTGATCGGGAAAGAAGTCGAACTGGTCGATGAAAGCCATCCACCGAGTCACTCTCGGCGGTGCTCAGTTTCCCTGTTTGCCCTTGCCTTTCAATGGGCAGGCCAATGTCTCATGGAGATCGCTGTTGCACCAGAGGAAATAGTGGAATCTCGTGCGCGCCTTGAATGCTTGCTCGGAGATGCTATATTGGGACCAAGGGGCTGAAGCTGCTACGCCGGGCCTGGGGCTAGATGCGGTGCGTGTCTTTGTCTTGCCGCGTCCTCAGCCTCTGCCGGGGCGCCGGGCGGCTGCAAGTCTGTCTCCTTCATTGACAGACACGGCCTCGCTAGTTTGGTCAAACGGCGTTGCCGCCGCGACCACGGTCACTCTTGGCCGATGCTGGTCTCTGCTCGGGCCTGCCGCAGACGAACGCAGGTTCTTAGCCTCCTTGTTCGTAATGATGATCTGCGCGGCCTGGTCAAAGAGTTCCGCCGTTGTCGTCAAGGTGTCCTCGACGTGAGTCAGGGCATTGCTTAATGTCAGACAGGACCTTGAGATGAAATAGTGGCGGATGGCCTTGAAGCCCATCTGGATGTCTGGGACTGATGTCAAGCGTTGGTACTCGGCAATCCAGTCAGTACTCGGCAGCATGCCTTGCTCGAAGACCATTAGCTTGTCCATAGCCTTGATCTCCGACGGCTCGACTTGGAACCGCTTGTTCCATGCCGCCTTCAGATCATCCCAACTGATCTTGGTGTGCAAGTGGGCAGCTACCACTCCGTACTTGGACAAGAGATTGTCCAACCATGCCTGGCACACGCCCTCCGACCGGGAGTATAAGTATGCGTGGTGCTTGTGTACTTTGACGTAGTGAAGCTGCAACGTGAGCTCGAACTTGCGGAACCATGATATCGGATCTATCTCCGTCGAGTCGCGGAAGATCTCCTGCCCGTCAAACTTTGGAGCTGTCTCGCGCGGTTCTGAACTTGAGTTGTTGGCGGCAATACAGATCCGCTGTTCCAACTGTTGCGTTGCGGTCTGCTGTAACTGCACGCCGTCCTTGAGGGAGCCGACGTCCATCTCCAATGCTTCGAGGCGATCGGAGGTGTTGGAAGAGCTTGCATCGGGGGCGGCGACAGGTCGTTGCTCCAGCTGCCGGAGGCGACCGTGGACTTGAGCCAGCGAGTCGTCGAGGCTGTGGATATCCTCCTGCTGTGTAATGCATGTAGCCAGGAGGTCTGTGAGATGGGAGAGGAGGAGAGCGATCTTGTTTTCGCTATCCTCCAGCTTACCATTCTCGGCCTCGGTCCGCCATTCCGCTGCCATGGTGAGCAATGTTTCCTCTCCGCTAAATATCTTCTCACGACGTTGAATTTTTTCTTCATCGGCAGCCTTTGCTGCTGCCTCGTCATGCTGGCGCTGTTGTTCAAGTGCCAACAGACGTGCCTGCTCGGCGTCCTCTGCCTTCTTCTTCGCTGCTGCTGCTGCGTCATCTGCCCGTTTCTTTGTTTTGGTACTCCAGGCCAGCATCCGGGCGTGATAGGCCTCGTCTGCTTCTCCGGACCTCTGGTCCATGACTGCTGTCTGTGAACGCAACAGCATAGACCAGGTCGGGGGCCTGCTGACGTGGTATTCCCTGCTGCTGACGTGGCACTGCTATCGGCTGACGTGGCCTGCTAACGTGTCCTGCTGACGTGTCCTGCTGATGTAGTCTGCTGACATGGCCTGCTGACGTAGTCTGCTGACGTAGCCTGCTGACGTGGCAACTTACCAATGCTGCGGCAGGGGGTACCTGGAGACAGGTAGAGAAGGTAGGGCGAGAGGGGGCAACAACATAGGTGGGGAGGGTGGGTGGGAAGAATTGCCCAGATAAGGAGCCACTAATCAAAAAAAGAAAAGTTTGAACTTTGCAAAAATTATCAAAAAATAAAAATCCCGACTTTTGCAAGTTCAGTAGGTCTCCCAACCTCCCTTGAAGTGCGAAACTATCAATGAGAAAAAAAATTCGAACTTCAGACTGCAAATGATTTATAGAACTGACTAACAGAATCCTAGAACTGCGAAAAAAAAATTCCGAAAAGAAATGACAAGTATTCGGATTTACTTCTCCTTCCCAGTCTCCTTCACCAAGATGGACAGGCCAGCTATTTTCAACGACAATGTAGAATCATCTATATTGGACTCTTTCCTCCTAAGAAAAGTAAGGGTCCTAGGCTCATGGCCAAAGGAAATTTTCAGACCAGATATGGCAATCAGATCCCTGGAATTCGACCCATCGGAATGGGCCTGGAAGCCAAATGTCACCAGCAATTTCAAATAAAAAATTCCGATCCAGGACTACTCAGTTAAACTCGGGTACAGACTGTCTCTGAAGACCAAAAACCCAGATCCAATCATCAAAAACAGATGGAGGAACCTTGTGGGTCAGGAAGCAGACAAAATCACACGATTACATTGGGAAAAATTCAAACGCATCAGACCAATCAAGATCAGAAGCTTGCAATGGCTGATTGTTTACGCAGCCCTGCCGGTGAATCAATGGCTACACATTAGACGGAAAACCACAGACCCAGACAGTTCAGAATTATGTGCAGTCTGTACTGAAGGCTCGGTAGAAGATATAGTCCACTGCCTAGTCCTCTGTAAAGAAGCAACCGAATACTGGGCGAGAGCATCTTCACTCTGGAATTCCCTCTTCTCATCTCCTTTCCCCAAACAACCCATTCAACTGCTCCTCTTGACTAACATCCCTGACCATGCTCGGAAGGCTGAGAGGACCTGGTTTGAACTCATCAGAAAGGTGATCCTATGGGTTATGTGGAAGGAGAGATGCAGTCGAACAATTGAAGGACTCTCCAACCCACGGGAGAAAGTGTGGATAGAAACTAAAATAATGATTCAAGCCGAGATACTGTGCAGATGGCGGAAGATCAAGCGAGCCTGGTCCTAAGACGAAGAACAGCGGAACAAGGAAAGGCAGAGATTCTACAGGAGCTGGTTGGTGGATGGCAAGATTGTAGAACTGCGACAAGACCTGATATGCTGGAAAGAATGGCATAATTCAAATCCAGGAAGGGGTTCCCAACATCAGATGTCGCTGGAAGGTGTTAGCACGTCCTAGGCTGCAACATAACCTAGGGGATATAGACGACGGGGAAAATGAGGACAAGTCTGATAACTCTGGAGCATGTACGGGGATCGCCAAGTAGGACCTCATCCCAGGAATTCGGAAGCCTACTAGCTCCTGTCAAGACCCAATTTTGACGTTCTGACGATAGGATTGCAGACTGAGGGCGTAGGTCTCAGTGCTAACTGTCGGCCATCCGAAGGGGGGGCGAAGTGGCTTAGGGGAAGGACCAGGTTGGGTAAGGCCAACAGGTGGGATCTTTCTAGCTTTTATTGCTTTATCTGACAGATCTGAAGTCTGGATCTGAGAGGAAAGAATGGGACAAGGCAAGCTGACAGTCAATCCTCCCGTGGTGGAGCAATCAATGCTGCTCAGGGGTCCTTCGGCCTGACGGAAGAAAGCGTGTGTGGTTGTCAATTGTTGTAATTTATTTTGACTTGCCGGTGGAATAGGAACCGGACTGACGCTCCCCAGAATAGGAGTCAGGTCCATAAGGCCATGTTTTATTAAATTAAAAAAAAAAAAAAAAAAAAAGTATTCGGATTTACTCAGATGAGAATATTCGCAGTTTGGAAAATAATACCTGCAGGAGGGATTTCCCGTACCGTTTTCAGAAAAACGGATTTCGAAAAAGAAGATATTCCGAATTTCTAAGTAACGGGAAATGCAACAGGAAATCGAAATTTTCGAAAAGAAGGATACTCCGGATTTTCAACAACGAAATTTCGGAATTTCAGAAGGAAAACGAAAATGGAAATTTCAGATGTTGCGCTGTTACGATTTTCCACAACAGAATAGCGAGAAAACAAAATCCAAGAAAAGAATTTTTTTTTTGGATTTTCGGCAGTAAGGTCAAAATCGTGATTTTGGGGGCTAACTAGTGTGCTCTAATCAATCAATAAAGACTAATCAGCTACCTAGTCCCCGCACACGTGTCAGATCAGGGTCCTGATTCACGTGCGGCGTTCCGATACCAACTGTTACATACCCAGTTGGGCAATGTACATAGAAACCGAGGATCCGCAATGTGATAAAAAGGACTGAATGGACAATGCAGTGCAAGTAGAATCTCAACAAGCATTGTGCATTCTAATACATACAAAATGGTGCTGAATAGCGCAGGGAAGACTTAGATACAAATCCTGACCTGACCGGGACTGACCTCATTCACGTAGTATAGGATAGCGAAGCAGAATGCTAGAATGCTAATGACTAGCCCAATCAATGTTTGAACCAGTGCTGAAAACCCGGTAGGACCGGGAGGTCCTCCCCCAACCGGAACCGGACCGGTCCTACCGGCCGGTCGACCGGGCCGGTTCCCCCCCG